GACCAACAATAGACAAAGAACTGTGTAAGCACAAACAAGAACAAAAAAATTTGCAGAAGGGGCCTAGAAGAGATTTAAGGGCCTCGGATATCAGAATACCAGATTGATGGACTATGTAACGGACAGAAAGGACTGACATGACTGAAACCAGGAAGATGGGACGCTGGATGAAAATTATAGAAATTTTTATGTTAATTTTGGAATTAGATTATTATTAATGAAATTTGTCTAATATTAATGAAATTTGAGGGAATATGCTGGAAAGGAATCAAATTGGCTTTAGTAGAAATGATTTTAAGGAGAAATGTAGGAATGTGATGTGATTTTGAAATTTTAAGATTTTTAAGATAAGATAAGGTTAAAGAATAAGGCAAATTGAATAACAGATTATATTAAAAGAGGGAAAGGCCATGTTGATTAACAAATAAGATAGATTGTGAAGATTAATTATTTAAATTAAAATTGAGAAATATGGGAAGAATTTGCTGAAATAACGAATTAAATTAGAATACAAAGAGGGAGGCGTGAGGAGGTTCAAGAACCAAGCAAATGAAAAGTTGAAATTTGAGATTTATAATTTCTTTTTTCTTTTTCTTTCTTATTTTATTATCTATTCTTTTTTCTTTTTTGGGCTAGGGTTGGGGATTTTTTATGTATTGATGAAACTTTGAATAAATATCATTAAAAAATGGTGGGAGGGCATTCCACAGGGAGGGCACCACTACCGAGAAGGCCCTCTGCCTGGTTCCCTGTAACTTGGCTTCTCGCAGTGAGGGAACTGCCAGAAGGCCCTCGGTGCTGGACCTCAGTGTCCGGGCAGAAGAATGGGGGTGGAGAAGCTCCTTCAGGTATACTGGACCAAGGCCGTTTAGGGCTTTAAAGGTCAGCAGCAACACTTTGAATTGTGCTCGGAAACGTATTGGGAGCCAATGTAGGTCTTTCAAGACCGGTGTTATATGGTCTCGCCGGCCGCTCCCAGTCACCAGTCTAGCTGCCGCATTCTGGATTAGTTGTAGTTTCCGGGTCACCTTCAAAGGTAGCCCCACGTAGAGCACATTGCAGTAGTGCAAGCGGGAGATAACCAGAGCATGCACCACTCTGGCGAGACAGTCCGCGGGCAGGTAGGGTCTCAGCCTGCGTACCAGATGGAGCTGGTACACAGCTGCCCTGGACACGGATTTGACCTGTGGCTCCATGGACAGCTGTGAGTCCAAAATGACTCCCAGGCTGCGTACCTGGTCCTTCAGGGGCACAGTTACCCCATTCAGGACCAGGGAATCCTCCACACCTGCCCAGCTCCTGTCCCCCAAAAAAAGTACTTCTGTCTTGTCAGGATTCAACCTCAATCTGTTAGCCGCCATCCATCCTCCAACCGCCTCCAGACACTCACACAGGACCTTCACCGCCTTCACTGGTTTTGATTTAAAAGAGAGGTAGAGCTGGGTATCATCCGCATACTGATGAACACCCAGCCCAAACCCCCTGATGATCTCTCCCAGCGGCTGTATGTAGACGTTGAAAAGCATGGGGGAGAGGACAGAACCCTGAGGCACCCCACAAGTGAGAGCCCAGGGGTCTGAACACTCACCCCCCCATTTTCTGAACACGGCCCAGGAGGAAGGAGCGGAACCACTGTATGACAGTGCCCCCAGCTCCCAGCCCCTCTAGACGGTCCAGAAGGATGTTATGGTCGATGGTATCAAACGCCACTGAGAGATCCAGCAGAACTAGGAAACAGCTCTCACCTTTGTCCCTAGCCCGCCGGAGATCATCAACCAGTGCGACCAAGGCAGTTTCAGTCCCATGATGAGGCCTGAATCCCGACTGGAAGGGATCCAAATGGTCTGCTTCTTCCAGGCGTGCCTGGAGTTGTTCAGCAACCACTCGCTCAATCACCTTGCCCAAGAATGGAAGATTTGAGACTGGGCGATAGTTGGCCATCATGGCCGCATCTAAAGATGGTTTTTTAAGAAGCGGTTTACTAACCGCCTCTTTCAGCGGGTCTGGGAAGGCTCCCTCATGGAGGGAAGCATTCGCCACCCCGCGAAGCCCATCGCCCAGCCCTTCCCGGCTAGCTTTTATTAGCCAGGATGGGCAAGGATCAAGGAGACAGGTGGTTGGTTTCACTCGTCCAAGCAGCCTGTCCACATCCTCAGAGGTAACAGATTGGAATTGATCCCACACAATTTGACTAGACAGGACTCTAGCACTCTCTCACTCCGGCCCTGTTCCCATGGGGAGTCTACCTCTTCCCGAATCTGAGCGACTTTATCTGCAAAAAACTTTGCAAAATCATTGCAGGAGATCATGTGGCCCATACTGGGCCCCGATGTAGCAGGTGGTTCCGCTAAATTGCGAACCACCTGAAAAAGTCTCCTGCTGCTGTTTTCTGCAGATGCAATAGAGGCGGTGAAGAAAGTCTTCTTCGCCGTCGCTACCGCCACTTGGTAGGCTCGACATTGAGCTCTAACCCGTTTCTGGTCAGCTTCAGAGTGAGTTATCCGCCACCGGCGCTCTGGCCGTCTCAACGATTGTTTCATTGCCCTCAGATCCGTGGAAAACCACGGGGCTGTCCGGGCTCCATGCAATCGGAGAGGGCGCTTCGGAGCCAAACAGTCAATAGCCCTGGTTAACTCCACATTCCAGCGGGCGACCAGGGAATCAGCTGAAAGGCCATCAACTTGGGATAAAACTGTTGGAAAACTAGCCCCTTTCAGGAGAGGCTGGCAACTCTCCCAGACTCCCAGGCTGTTTACCGGTTGATCTACTCTGGCTGCCATCCCAGACAGTCCAGGCAGACCTTGATAGGCGACATTTCCCAGCGTGGAAAATCCCCTTCGCAGGGGAAAGAAGAATAGTCAGAAAGTCCTTTTTACATCTTGTTTATTTCTGACGTTACAGCTCTACAGAAAACGTGTCCGATCGCTTCAGTCTCCTTCTAGCAAGTGGCAAAGACTTCCTTTACAAACGCAACAGGAAGGTCTCATATTACACACAGAACACAGCTTTGAGTAGCCTGTGAACTTCCTGGAAGATTCTTTCCCACAGCTAGCCACATCACATGATGTCAACATCAAGCTAGCAGTTTGCAGCTGTGTTGTATCCATATCGTAACAAAAACATCCCCTACCACTCTCTGGAAGCCAATTGGATCCATTAAGGGGGGGGCGGACCATCCGAATCGGTCCCACCTCCCTGCAGAGGGGAAGGGTCGCGGAGAAGTCCAGTTGCACCAGGAAGTGATCTGACCATGGCACTTCTTTTGTTTCGCTTTTAGTTAGTGTCAGATCACCAACATCCGTAGAGGTAAACACCAAGTCTAAGGCATGTGCACGGCTATGAGTTGGGCCAAACTTTTTCAGGGACAGCCCCATGGAGGCCATGCTTTCCACGAAGTCCCGAGCGGCCCCTTTTAAGGTTGTGTCGGCATGGATGTTAAAATCCCCCAGGACAACCAAGCTAGGTGTCTCCAGGAGCATATCCGCCACGACCTGAAGCAGCTCGGGCAGGGAATCCTTGTTGCAGCGGGGAGGTCGGTACACCAAAAGGAATCCTGTACTGCCCCTATTGCCCAACTTCCAGAACATGCACTCAGAGAACCTAGTCTTCCCAATAGGACGCTTGGTGCAGACTAATGACTTCCTAGAGATCACTGCCCCCCGCCCACAAGGCCTGGATTGCTGTGCGTAAGAGAAACCTAGTGGACAAGCAGCGGCAAGGACAGGCCCATCTGCTTCATCCAACCAAGTCTCTGTTACACATGCCAGGTCAAGTCCTCCATCCATGATCAAGTCATGGATGGCAGTGGTTTATGAATCATTGACCTGGCATTGCACAGCAGCACCTTCAGGTCATGTGGGTATCCCTTGCTGATTCTAGTATCCATCCGGTCAGGACCAGACCCGGAGGCAGGGATAGTCCTCAGACAACGACTACACCTGCCTCCTCTAACGACATGGTCTGGTCTTAGTGTAACTCCTCCTCCTACCCGTGATCACTGAGATCGGTTGTCCCAGTGCATCGCCCCCTGTGGAACATGCTCCAGCCATTTTGTTGGATGGGACCCACTCCCCGGCAGCCCTGACCCCTCCCCTTAAGAACAAAATAAAACCTTTTAAAAACAATAAAACAATACAAACAAAAAACTAAAAATTACAAAAACACCAAAATCAAACAAATTCCCAGGCCCAACCAAACATCCACCCCACCCCACCACCACCACCACATACAAAAAATTCAAAAGAATTTTTAAAAAACATTTTAAAAAGAACTCTGCGCCCCCCTGAGTCCTCCTGGACAGCAGCAGCAGTAACAGCAACCATAGTTGTGAGGCCTGTCAGGCCCTGCCTTGGACCAGGTGGTAAGTGGCAAGAGCAGGGCCCTCAAGCACTCACACAGGGGAGGTCAAGGAGAAGTCAAGGAGGAGAATCGTGGGATCATGGACTCTCTCAGTAAGGATCCCTGTTGGATCATAACATGTTGTGATTGGAGATGGAGTGGATTCCATGATTGAGCCACAAAAATATCCATCCCAGATAAAAGCCAAGCAATATCTCAGTTAATACCAGCCAACTAAGGAAGTGAAACCTATAGGACGGCCTCACATCTCATTCTCTTCAGTTCTTCCTCTGTCACAAGCATTCATTAACATTGTTCAATAATCTGGAGCTCCCATTTCCTCCTGAGACTAATTAGCTTCTCTCTTCATTGCAGATGGTGATGAATCAGAAGGGAAGAACAAGGGGAGCACAACAGAATCCCCATAGCGGAGAAGTCATATAAATATTCAGAGTGTGGAGAGAAGATCCGTCAGAGTTCCCAGTCCACCTCCCATCAAAGAAAGAGCTTCATTCGAAGGAATACCCTGACTTCACATGAAAGAACACAGAGTAGGGAGAAATTGTATCGGTGCAGAGTATGTGGAAAGAGCTTCAATCGAAAGGGTAATCTAACTTTGCATCAAAGAGTTCATACAGGGAGAAACCATATAATTGCTTGGAATGTGGAAAGAGCTTCAGTCACTGGGGGAATCTCACTTCCCATCAAAGAGTTCATACAGGGGGAAACCGTATCACTGCTTGGAATGTGGGAAGAACTTTAGTCACCGCCAGAATCTCGCTTCTCATCAAAGAATTCATACAGGGGAGAAACCGTATCAGTGCTTGGAATGTGGAAAGAGCTTCAATCGGAAGGGTCACCTCACTTCCCATCACAAAATTCATACAGGGGAGAAACCCTATCAGTGCTTGGAATGTGGGAAGCGCTTCAGTCAGGAGGGGAATCTCACTTCTCATCAAAGAATTCATACAGGGGAGAAACCCTATCAGTGCTTGGAATGTGGAAAGAGCTTTCGTCTGAGTGGTGATCTCACTTCCCATCAAAGAATTCATACAGGGGAAAAACCCTATCAGTGCTTGGAATGTGGAAAGAGCTTCAGTAAGTGGGTGAATCTCACTTCCCATCAAAGAATTCATACAGGCGAGAAACCCTATCAGTGCTTGGATTGTGGAAAGGGCTTCAGTCGGAAGGAAAGTCTTACTACCCATCAAAGAATTCATACAGGGGAGAAACCCTATCAGTGCTTCGAATGTGGAAAAGGTTTTTGTCTGAGTGGTCATCTGACTTCCCATCAAAGACTTCATACAGGAGAGAAACCGTATCACTGCTTGGAATGTGGAAAGAGCTTTCGTCTGAGTGGTGATCTGACTTCCCATCAAAGAGTTCACACAGGGGAAAAACCCTATCAGTGCTTGGAATGTGGAAAGAGCTTTCGTCAGAGTGGTGATCTGACTTCCCATCAAAGAATTCATACAGGGAGAAACCCTATATGTGCTTGGAATGTGGGAAAAGCTTCCGGGAGGGCCACAAGCTCACTTCCCATCAAAGAATTCATACAGGTGAGAAACCCTATCAGTGCTTTGAATGTGGAAAGAGCTTCAGTCAAAGTGCCGCACTCTCTTACCATCACAGAATTCATACAGGGGAGAAACCCTATCAGTGCTCAGAATGTGGGAAGCGCTTCAGTCAGGAGGGGAATCTCACTTCTCATCAAAGAATTCATACAGGGGAGAAACCCTATCAGTGCTCAGAATGTGAAAAGAGCTTCAGTCGGAAGGATAGTCTCACTTCCCATCAAAGAATCCATACAAGAGAGAAAACGGTTTAGTGTTTGGAATGTGGGAAAAGATTCGTTCATGGCCCACCAAATAATTCATACGGGGTTGAAAGCATATCAGCACACGGAATGTGTATAAAATTTCACTTGTTCAAAAGTCAATTTAAGATCTCACACCAGGGTGAAGTATAGAATTATAGATTCAGAATCTAGTCCAGCCCCCTCCAGAAATCTCATTTCAAGCATCCATGACAGGTGGCCATCCAACTTCTTCTTAAAACCCCCCAATGAAGGTCCACCCCTTCTGAGAGAGTTCCTTTTCACAGTCAGCTCTTACTATCAGAGAGAAAATAAAAAAGACTTTGGAGAAGACTTCCGGTGTGATGGCCTATGGCGTTTGGCTGCTTTCCCAGGACACCGGACCCTAGTCGTGCAATTAAACAAGGTGAATCTGGGGGTAATTATCCCTGTTGAACCCCGCAGGGATGGGGCGCACATGCCATCCGATATCTGCTGCTCGCTACAGTGGAGGCAGGGGCGCTGGGTGTTTAGCATTGCACGAATTGGAAAATCTCCAATGCCAACGCCATGAGCGGGAGCTTTCCTGTTTTTCAACAAAGATTTGAATTTGGACTTTGAAAGGACTTTTGTCGCTCTGCTACAGAAGATGTGAAGTGAGCGTCTCATCTTTGCTTATACTTGCTACTGTTGGGCCAATGCCCTCCCTCATTTGTCCGAATGGTGAGGAACTTCGCCCGTAGTAGCAGAGTACAGCAGAAGCAGACTCTGGCTGGAAAGCAGCATCGAGAAGATAAGAAGGCAACAGAGCGACAGAGCTGACTCACGCAGCCGTATCCTTCAGCAAAAGCCAGATGCAAGGACCAGAGGGGAGGAGGAGGAGATATAGAAATCGCTCCCGTTCTCACACGATGATACATTAGGTAATTAGGCAATTAAAGGCACAGTGTCACACTGTGCAATGAAAGAATGAAACACTGCAGTACTGACACCTACTTCATGATTTGGCAAGCCTCATGGAGAAAGATTCAATTAATTAAATGGAATGCAAGTGAAACTTCATTAAAAAAACTTGAGAATTTGATGTTTAATGGTGCGGTCCTTTGTGGAGGGCTCTAATTATTATTGGCAAGGTATCAGCTTGTTTGAAGATATGGAGAGACTTTGCTGAAATGCCGTGTTACCAGAGAATGAGGCTGTAATTTCAACTGCGTCACACGCCATCTTCTCTCCCTTTTTTGTTATTGTTTGAGTCTAGATAGAGAGTAATCTGGCGTCCCGCCAAAGCTCTGGCAAGACTCCAGCTTCTCCTTCCGTCCAACTCTCTCAATAACGATCTGGCATCCTGCCAAAGCCATAGCCGATCATCAAAGCTCAAACTCCATTTCCTTCCAAAGGAATACAGTGAAAGTCCATCTGCTTGCATGGACTTTTGTCATATATGGATTTATAAAAGTGAAGGTGAATCTTTGATCTTTGTAATCTTCCCTTAGGGCTCAGGGGGAGCAAGCTTGGATTCTAGAGGAACCAAACAAGTATTAACTGTGAAATCTATCCCACAGTGTGGTCTCTTACAAAAGATTCTTCGGTTTGGGAAAATATCAGTTCGTTAAAATACATTACATGTGTCTTAATTTTAACTAAACAAAGGAAAGCTGGAAGACAGCCCAGAGTCCTGGAAGATAAGACGGTGGAATGAAATAGGGCCTTCTGTTTTTTGTTTTTTTTAAATGATTTTTATTAAGGTTTCAGTAAAAAGTTAAACAGAAAAACATAAAAAAGAAATACACAAATACACAGTACATAATCCAAAAATGAAAAAAAAAACACAGAGCACAGAAAACAAAAAAAAAGAAACAGAACAATTAAAAACAATATCACCTTTTCATTTCCGTTTTTAAATTTACTTATTTTCTGGACCTCCTCATACCTCCCTCTTTTGTATTCCAGTCCAAATTGTTTGTCCAGCAATTTCTTTTCCACTTTTTAATCCCAATCTTTAATCTTAATGTAATATAACATTAAAATTTTACCTCTTAAGTACCAAATTTCCATTTCCTTAAACATCTTTAATCCTAATCTTTAATCTTAGTCTATCTATAACTTTAAATCCTGTACAGCTGGAAACCACTTATTTTCAATTCAGCATCACTCTAACATTCTTTAATTTTGCAGTGTTTCTGAAGATAATCTTTGAATTTCTTCCAATCTTCCTCCACCAAGTCTTCTCCCTGGTCACGGATTCTGCCAGTCATTTCCGCCAGTTCCATATAGTCCATCAGTTTCATCTGCCATTCCTCCAGCGTGGGAAGTTCTTGTGTCTTCCAATACTTTGCGATGAGTATTCTTGCTGCTGTTGTTGCATACATAAAGAAAGTTCTATCCTTTTTTAACACCATTTGGCCGACTATGCCCAGGAGAAAGGCCTCTGGTTTCTTCAAGAAGGTATATTTAAATACCTTTTTTAATTCATTATATATCATTTCCCAGAAAGCCTTAATCCTTGGGCACGTCCACCAAAGGTGAAAAAATGTACCTTCAGTTTCTTTACATTTCCAACATTTATTATCGGGCAAATGATAGATTTTTGCAAGCTTGACTGGGGTTATGTACCACCTGTATATCATTTTCATAATATTCTCTCTTAAGGCATTGCATGCCGTAAATTTCATACCTGTGGTCCACAACTGTTCCCAGTCAGCAAACATAATGTTATGTCCAACGTCTTGTGCCCATTTAATCATAGCTGATTTTACCGTTTCACATTAACTGTGAAATCTATCGCTCTTACAGAAGATTCTTCAGTTTGGGAAAATATCAGTCAGTTAAAATACATTACATGTGTCTTAATTTTAACTAAACAAAGGAAAGCAGGAAGACAGCCCAGAGTCCTGGAAGATAAGATGGTGGAATGAAATAGGGCCTTCTGAGGAGGGACTGCACCGAAAACAATTGATGGACAACAACAAGAAGAGCACAATTTTCATCATGCATGTTAATTTAGATATAGATCTGTTAAATATGATGAAAGTTGCATGCCAGTGGCTGTCAAGATAAGATAAAGGATTAAAATCGGGATGATATTGGGAATAAATAAAAGAGAGAAAAGTAGGAACAAGAACCAAAAAAAATAAATAAACCTCATCAATCTTTGACTTTTGTCTTCTGGGTTTCCTAGTTGTTATTCTGTCTCTCACAGCTACAATAAACCTACCATTAATATTGTGGACTAGGCATTTCTTCGTCAGAGGGCAAAAAACCCAAATTTAGCGGGGGATCAAATACTTTCCCCCCTCACTCTAGATGTTTACACTCTCACACGCACCTGGCTCTCATTTGGAGGAGGAGTGAGAGGCGGAGGCTCTTTACTTCTAGAATGGCATTTCCCTCGCACCTCCTTTCCTCCCAGGAGCTCCTCCTTCCACAACCCTGCCAGGCTGGCCGCTTGCCTTTCACCCCCTTTCCAGCACTGCGTGGCTTAGTGTGGCAGCACCTGCCCTTTGGAACTCCCCGCCTCTTGCAATAATATATATAATAATAATAATAATAATTCTAGAATGGCATTTCCCTCGCACCTCCTTTCCTCCCAGGAGCTCCTCCTTCCACAACAACCCTGCCAGGCTGGCCTCTTGCATGTCGCCCCCTTTCCAGCAGGCGAAGCTGCAGGGGCCACTCACTTCCTGGCCCTCCAAAAATGGAGGAGGCCTTTGACCCTGGATGAGCCTGAGAGGAGCCTTGAGGGGGGCAGAGAGGGGCTCTTGCCCCTTCCCAGACTTTTCCGCCATCCATTTATTAGTACTGTTGATTAAACTTAGGCCTCTCGGGGCTCTGGCACCCGGCACAGTGATTTCAAATGATCTCAAACCCTAAAATGGATTGACAGGTAACTGACAGACGTGGATGATCTCTAGAGATATAGGGCAGCTGCCGGATGCCCCCCTTGGTTGGGCCTGTGATGGACAGCAGAGCCAGGCCAGTCAGCGGACTTCATCCCTCAGAAATTCCCCCAGGGGGCGGGAGCCTCGCTCTGATTGGCTGCCAAGCCAGCGGGGGGGCGGAGCCAGGCCTTTTGGCGGGAAGATGCAAGGCGCCTTTTCTGAGGGGGGAGCTTGGAGGGGAAGGTGGGGAGGAGAGGAAGAGGAGTCAGGCGGGAGTTGAAGGGGAGAAGCTGGGGGGAGGGAAGGGAGACCCCCAAGAAGGAGGGCTGAGGGGACCCCCTGGGTGTGGGGGGCGGACTGAGAGGGGGGAGGGAAGGGAGACCCCCAAGAAGGAGGGCTGAGGGGACCCCCTGGGTGTGGGGGGCGGACTGAGGGGGGGAGGGAAGGGAGACCCCCAAGAAGGAGGGCTGATCGCCCCCCCTGGGGGATGGGGGGCCGACTGAGGGGGGGGCGGAGACCCCCAAGAAGGAGGGCTGAGGGGACCCCCTGGTAGTGGGGGGGCGGACTGAGAGGGGGGAGGGTACGGAGACCCCCAAGAAGGAGGGCTGAGGGACCCCTGGGTGTGGGGGCGGACTGAGAGGGGAGGGAAGGGAGACCCCAAGAAGGAGGGTGAGGGGACCCCCTGGGTGTGGGGGGCGGACTGAGGGGGGGAGGGAAGGGAGACCCCCAAGAAGGAGGGCTGAGGGGACCCCCTGGGTGTGGGGGGCGGACTGAGGGGGGGAGGGAAGGGAGACCCCCAAGAAGGAGGGCTGAGGGGCCCCGCGGGGTGTGGGGGGCGGACTGAGAGGGGAGCGGAGGAGACCCCCAAGAAGGAGGGCTGAGGGACCCCTGGGTGTGGGGGCGGACTGAGAGGGGAGGGAAGGAGACCCCGAAGAAGGAGGGCTGAGGGGACCCCTGGGTGTGGGGGCGGACTGAGGGGGCGGAGGGAGACCCCAAGAAGGAGGGCTGAGGGGACCCCCTGGGTGTGGGGGGGGCGGACTGAGAGGGGGGCGGAGGGGACCCCCAAGAAGGAGGGCTGAGGGACCCCTGGGTGTGGGGCGCGGACTGCGAGGGGGGAGGGAAGGGAGACCCCGAAGAAGGAGGGCTGAGGGACCCCTGGGTGTGGGGGCGGACTGGGGGGAGGGAAGGGAGACCCCCAAGAAGGAGGGCTGAGGGACCCCCCGGGTGTGGGGGCGGACTGAGGGGAGGGAAGGAGACCCCCAAGAAGGAGGGCTGAGGGGACCCCCTGGGTGTGGGGGGCGGACTGAGAGGGGAGCGGAGGGAGACCCCCAAGAAGGAGGGCTGAGGGGACCCCCTGGGTGTGGGGGGCGGACTGAGAGGGGGGTGGAGGGTGTAGCAGGAACCCCCCCCCCAATCATTCAGTTTGCACAAACTTCACACACACTCACACTCACACACGACATACGCTACGCTTCTGTTATAAATTCATAGAAAATCCACCATACATCGGATCTGCACTGTTCCACTTTTATTTTACTCCATGAAGGAAGGACTACAAAATGGGGAAGGTTTGATACAGGGCAGCCCAGCACATCCACAGGAGCCCTGCCCAGTTGCTATGCCAACCCTGATGGTCCTAGACAGAAGACCATCAAGATCACAAAGAACTTGCATGTGGGAGTGGATTCAGCACGGACTGGAACAAAGGACAATGATCAGCTCTTCCCTCTGGGGGCAGGAACCTGGAAACTCCCCTTTGTCTCCTGGAAGTGACTCATGGGGAGGGGGAAAGGGGGAACCAGCCAGGTGACAGGACACTCAGGTTACCACCACAACTCCTCCCTCAACCCCTCCTTTCTGTGATGTATGCGTGATGTTTCTGGGGGTGGGCTTGACCTACAGGGTGGGAATTTCAAAAGTTTTTATAAGGCCTTGCACACCATTTTTCTGTGTCCTTTCTCTCTCCTGCAAGTGAGGGGAACACCCTGTTGCAACAGTTCAATAAAGGCCAAGCCTATAAAGAATGTTAGAGTGATGTTGGATTGAAAATAAGTGGTTTCCAGCTGTACAGGATAAAGCTATAGATAGACTAAGATTAAAGATTAGGATTAAAGAAGTTTAAGGAAATGGAAATTGGGTACTTAAGAGGTAAAATTTTAATGCTATATTACATTAAGATTAAAGATTGGGATTAAAAAGTGGAAAAGAAATTGCTGGACAAAGAATTTGGACTGGAATACAAAAGAGGGAGGTATGAGGAAGTCCAGAAAATAAGTAAATTCAAAAACGGAAATGAAAAGGTTATTGTTTTTAATTGTTCTGTTTCTTTTTTTGTTCTCTGTTCTCTGTGGTTTTCTTCTTTTTTTGGATAATGTATTGTGTATGTGTGTATTTCTTTTTTATGTTTTTCTGTTTAACTTTTATTGAAACCTTAATAAAAATCATTTAAAAAAAAAACAAAAACAATAAAGGCCAAGCCTACAGGCTGCTGATTTGCTCCAGTTTACTCTGGGTGGTGTCTTTACTTTTTGTCCAAGGGAGCCCTTGGATTTTTCCGGTAACAATATATCTATATATCTATGTATGTTGGTAGGTAGGTAGATGAAAGATGATAGATATGTATGTGTATATAACAGACAGGCACAAAGTTGCCCTCATCCAAGATGGCTAGAAGGACCAGTTGCCCTGACCCAACATGGCCTCTGCTCTTGCCCAAAAGCAGCTGCTCCCCTTCAGGCCGATGTTCCCCTTCCTAGAAATGGGGCCTAATGCTTCCCTCGCTTTCTGCTCCCTTCCCTGAGTACTTCCACCATTCCATGCTTTGGACGCAGCCCCGCTTCCCTGGCAGAACAGCAGGCTTAAGGGCACCAGGAATATCTACCCTTTACGAACTCCAGAGGGGAGCTTCTCAATTTCTTCCTCAGCCTAAACATCATCATAATAATACTGCCATATCACAGTAGATTGTAGGTTGTAGGTGGTGAATTGGAAAGGAAGAAGAAGGGAGACAACAAGAAAAATCCACACAATGGAGAAACCATATAAATATTCAGAGTGTGGAGAGAACTTTAGTCGGAGCTCCCAGTCCACTTCCCATCAAGGAAAGCTCTTCGTTCAGAAGGAGAGCCTCACTTCACATGAAAGAACTAACGGGGGGAAGAAATTAGTGCTTGAAACGTGAGGAAAGCTTCCTTCGCAGCTCCATTCTCAATTCCCATGAGATACTTCATACAGGGGAGTGTTTGGAAAAAGCTTCACCTGGAAAACCTGTCTCAGTTTCCATTCAATAAATCACAGCAAGGATAATCACAGAATTTTAGAAAATGGTATAAGGCATAAGGTATAACTGGAATCAGGAAACTTGATGAGGAATTAAGGGGAAAGACAGTGTTGACCCAGAGTAGTTACAAAATGCATGTTCTCTCCCAAGTGCCACAGACCCTCCTCCAAAGAGAGCTTCTCTGAAGAAAGCACAAGCAAAAATTACTCCATTTTACGTGAATAAGAAAACGAGGAGGTGGCTAAGAAACAGCAGGAGCCAGATCCTATTACTGACCTTATAGGATCTCTCAGCAGCTCTAAGGATGAGCAGAAAGAGGTTTTGGGCCCAGGCAGCTCAACTGCTAAGTCATCTCTGGCACTGAGACCAGGAGCTCAAGCGACTCAAGGCCAAATTCAGGCTAAACAAGTAGAGGAACTAATCTGAAAGCAAAATTCAAAATTAAAGCAAGTATAAAAGACTGCTACTCCCAAACTTCTGGGACAAAAGAGGGATTATCAGTCTTTGGGTGGCTTGTAGTACTAACAGATTGCATGGAACACTTAAAATCCTTTTTGGCTGACTGTAATAAAATTCTTACCATCCTGATAGGTACTTGTAAAACCTTCTGAATAAAATCTAGCAGAGTCTGTGGAACCAGATAATACAACAATTTCTCTTTCCATACCATTAAAAATGGATCAATAAGGGAGGTTTGATTCGTCCACATGGCAAAAGGAGGTCTATAAGTACAAAGAAGAGCAAAAGTCTTAAAAATTTTAAAAATAGTGCAATATTAAAAAGTTGACTTGAAAATACTTTTTAACTTACTTAAGAGCAGCTCATGCTCTTTTTTCTTTAAAGATATTTATTAGAATTTCACAAGAAAAGGATCACATTAATAAGAAAATTAACAATAGAAAGAAAAATACAGAATACAAAGTACAAAAAAGAAAAAGAAAAAACAGTTAAAAACAATTCCATCTTTTCATCACTTCTTTTACGTTTACTTGTTTCCCGGACCTCCTCATACCTCCCTCTTTTGTATTCCAATTCAGTTTGTTAGTCCAGCAATTCCTTTCCCTCCTTTTTAATCCTGATCTTAATCTTAATATATTATAACATTAACATTTACCTATTAAAAACCAATTTTTCCAATTCTTTTAACCATTAC